ACCACCAACCTTAGGGTTCAAAGTGACTATTGCAGTCTAGCGCATTAACCCACAGTGCCACACCAAGACTCCAAGATATATATACACATAAACTCCATATGACCTAACAAAAGCAGCAACAACACACACATATATAAAGCAGAAATGGGAGATTGAAATGTGAGTGCTTTTATGATTATTTTGTTTTCTAATTTTCCAAAAGGAAAATGTATTGCTTTTGTAATGAGAGGAAATAAAAGTTAAGAATACCTTACATTCTAAAAGTGCTGTACTAAAAGCCCACCACATGTTACTCTCTCAGCCATCCCTTGAGACCTGCCAGCTTTTGCCTCAGGGTCCCCTAGTCAAGCTCTAGCAGAGTTCTGAAGCTTTCCATCTAACACGTTTATTTACAGTGGCAGTGGCTCAATCCACAAATGAGATCCCACAAGTGACCCAGATAAGAGAGTAGGGTAAAGGCCAAGAGAAAAGGCAGAAATAGCCATTCTGAATCCCTTGGTATAAGCAAGCAGGAACAACAACAAAGGGGAAATGGCAGGAAATGGAAGAGGAAAGGAGCAAGACCAACTGTTATTTCTAGAGGCAAAAGTACAAACATAGCAACAGAAGCTTAAGAGTGGTGGTTTGTTTTCTTATCCACCCAAGTGTCCTAATTCCTAAGAGATAGCAGTCACTTGAACATATGAACTACTCAGAGAATCCTTGACATGCTGAATAAACCCTCTCTGGGAACATACATCATAAGGAAAAGAAACAAGACACCAAGAAATTCTTGGAAGTGTTTCTTGCTTCAGGAGAAATCAGACCAACCATACCTCTAACTACTAAGAGTCCTCCTGGCCCCCAGCTAGTCTCCAAGCCCCACAGGTTTCCTCCTCATGTGGCGCCATGAGATAAGTACTGGACTGCAAGGTCAGTTTGAACAAGGTCGGTGGTTCAAATTCACCAGTCACTCCTCGAAAACCTATACAGGGTCACTATGAGTTGGAACCTACTCAGTGGCACTTAACAACAGTAATCCTCTCTCATGAGTCTGCTCCAGCCCAGCCCAGCCCTCTGGCTGCAGTCTCCCTCCACTGCCTCACAGTGCTGCCCTGAAGATTAAGGAAGGAAAGCCCAGAGACATCAATGCCACTGGGACCAGGAGACCTTGAAGAATGGGAGTAAAGGCTAGTGTGGCACAGTCACAGCATCTCTGCGATTATCGGCATGGACTGAAGAATCAAAACGCTGGGAGTCAACTCCCAGCTCCACCCTAAGCAATTCTGTGACCCGGTGGTGGTTGGTGCTTATGTGCTGTGGCGTCAGTTCTGATTCAGTGACCCTGTATTCTGAGGCTGTAAATCTTTATGGAAACAGAAAGCCTCCTCTTTCGCGCATGTTCTCTGACCTTGGGCAAGTGAACTCTTTGCTTCCTTATTTGTAAAACAGGAATAATACAAAGTCCTGGTGTGGTGTTGTAGGATGATCACTGGACCATAGGTCCATTTGAACTACAAGGTCGGCAGTTCAAACTCACCTGCCATTCTTTGGAAACCGTATACAGACAAGGTTGCTGACTCAAAGATTCGATGGCACTTAACATCCTGTAGGATTGCTTTGAGGATTAAAAGAGCTGGTGTTAATATTAATTGTACAACAACACTCAGAACAATGCCTTAAAGAACTAAGAGCATGGAATCTGGCAAGCCAAGAACTCCTAGCTCAATTAGCAGGGGTGATCTTTTGAGTTTCCTCCTCTGGGCATGTGTCCTTATCTGCAAATCATGGACAATGGTCATCTTCCTACACAACACAGCAACAAGGGAAGGCAAAAGTGTTGTTATTGGATGTTATAGAGTCAATTCTGACTCATAGCAACCCTATGTACAACATAAAGAAACACTGCCCAGTCCTATGTCACCCTCCCAATTGTTGCTGTTTGAGCCCAGTTGTGCCTTCTATACCAATCCATCTCATTGGCTGTCTTCCTCTTTTTTACTGACCCTCTACTTTACCAAGCAAGATGCCCTTCTCAAGAGATGGGTCCCTCCTGACAAAATGTTCAGTGTGTCTCATCATTCTTTCTTCTAAAAGTCTGGCTGTAATTTGTTATCCTGGCAGTCTATGGTATATTAACATTAAAGTCCATAATTCAGACATTGATTCTTCTTTGGTATTCCTTATTCATTACCCAGTTTTCATATACATGTTGTTGTTGCTAAGTGGCGTCGAGTCAATTCTGACCCATAGCGACCCTGTATAGGGTTTCCAATGAGCAGCCAGTGAACATGAACTACCAACCTTGCAGCTCAAACAATTTTGTTTACAGTCTACATTAGCCCACAGGACTAGCGCCACACCAGGGCTCCTTCATAACATGAGGTAACTGAAAACATCATGGCTTGGGTGATGGGCACCTTAATCCTCACAGTGACATCTTTGCTTTTTAACACTTTAAAGAGATCTTTTGCAGTAGTTGCAGAATACATCATTTGATTTCCTGACTGCTGCTTCGATTGTTGTTGGTAAGGGCTGTCAAGTCAGTTTCAACTCATAGCGTCCTTGTATAGGGTTTCTGAGGAGCAACTGGGGAGATTGAACCACTGACCTTGTGGTTCAAGCCCTTTGCGGTCCAGTGCATTAACCACATGTGAATCCAAGTCAAATCAAATCCTTGACAACTTTAATCTTTTCATTTATTGTATTTACTGGTTCAGTTGTGAGGATTTTTGTTTTCTTACATTGAGCTGTAATCCATTCTGAAGGCTATATTCACTGATCTTCATTTAAGTGCTTCAAATCTGCAATTTCAGTAAGCAAGGTTGTGTTACCAGCATCCCATCTGCTAATGAGTTTTACTCCAATCCTAATGCCATGTTCTTCTTCATATAGTCCAGCTTCTAGATTATTTGCTTGGCATACAGAGTGAGTAAGTGTGGTGAAAAAATGCCTGTTTCCTGATTTTAAACCTTGCAGTATTTTAAACCCTTGTTCTGTTAGAATGATTACCTCTTGGTCTATGTATAAGTCTCAAGGGTACAATTAAGTGTCCTGGAATTCCCATTCTTCATAATGTAGCTCCACAAAAATATCTCAAAGTTGCAGGCCCCTTATAACCTGCGTCACTGAGCACTGGGAAAAGTGAAGCAAGAGCTGGCTCTTCAGGTACCCTCCTCCCCTTCTGCAAAGCTTTTACTCAGCTGTGAAGCTCTCAAGTTGTTTCTGTCAACAAAGTCATATAGCTCAAGGTGTTTCAAATCCACTAATGAAATCAAGTTAGCAATTCAGGCATCACTTGAAAAACAATAAATTAGTACAGGGTGGAAAGATCAAGCTGTACATAGTATAAGTAGCTTCAGGAAACATTTGCATGGTATGCATGTATGTGTGTGTGTCCTTGATGGCAATAATTTAAAGGCATATCCACCAGGGTTACAGTCAGAGTTCAATGCCACCACCAGAGCCTATCTGGGTCTTAGATACACATTCAGAGTTCATAGGTGACCAACATACGCTGGCTGAGCCAGCAGAGGGTACCTATGAAATGTCTCACAGGTTAACCCTGCTTAGTTCCCTGGAAGTGGGCGTACTGGCCATCCCACTGAGGGTCCCATAAGCCCACCTCTAAGTAATATTAGAATCCAGGTGCTCTCCACCTGTCCACCTTCAAAAGCATGACCTTTTTTCACACCCAGATCCCTTCCCAGTTGTCCAAAGCTTTTCTCCCTTCCCTTTCTTCTATTCCATTCTTCCTTTCCTTCAATTTGTCCACTTCCCCTCTCCTTTCTAGCCTTTTCCTTGAGTTTACAGTTGTTTCCCCTTCCTTTCTTCCCCCACCCTTCACTTCTTTTTCCACTCCCTCCTCTTTTTCAAGACATATACACACAAACAAATGCTTTTCAGACAATTACGTCTTTAATTTATTTTTGAAAATAATTCTGTAGCTTCAACTTTCTTCCATGAAACTGAGGTCAGGCAAGAAACAAAAACACACAAATACCTCTCCAACCTGCCTCCTGCATCCTAACCTGTCAGGACATGGGAATGCATGGAGGAGAGGGGCTGGGGCAGGGGCCGGCAGAGAGCCGGCAGACTGGTTCTGGTCTTGACTATTATTCTACCTCAAATTGAGGAAGAGAAGACATCAGAAGTCAGTCATCAGGGAGAAGGCTGTGTACTGAGTTCTGGGGGAAGAAGGTACAGAGGAGCTCATCCCCCCTCTCTCTCAACCAGCCAGGATAGGGAAGGCATCAATGTTTGGGGTAGAGGGAGCAGGAGACTATCTCTTTGATAAAGATGAAGGAGGGAGTTGCCTTAGCCACAACTGAGGCTTTCCTTCCACCACCTTTAAACTCACAGCTAAGGAGAGATTTTGCTTTTCTCCTTTTCAGCTTTATCGCTTAAAATCATAAATTGCTGGAATGATGGAAAAGAAGCGATGAGAAGAGATTACAGGGAGAAGAGATAGGAAAAGTGGAAGAAGAGAAACAAGAGGAGGAGGAAGTAAACTCTGACAACTAACAATTCCACTCCAACCCCCAATGGTGAAACACCTTTGCTTAGTCTCATTTTGGCCACAAGTGCATCTCTTTCTCACATAATCCAGCTCCCCTGCCCCCACTACACAAACATTGAGGTTAGATGGGGAAAGTACAGGGAAAGGACTCATGGAAGAGTCAGATCAGGGGAGAGGCCTGGGCAAGAGCGCTAAAGTTACCAACATCTCTGCAGATGCCCTAGGAGAAAACTCTGGACACGGAATCCCAGGTCTCCCTCTACCACACAGTGGTTTCTTGCCTAATACCTCCCCCAACATACTCCAGAAAGATTCCCCTGAACTGACCCTACTGGAGAATGGGAGAACAACCCTTGCCCTATCATCTTGCACTTGAATTCCACTCTAAAAAGAAAATAAAAATAAACGGACTCAAGAGGGAGACATACAGACAGGATGATACTGTGATCCAGTCTCCATCAATGATATGGCAAGGGAAGAGGCCCAGGAGCAAGCAGGCAGACTAATTCCAGCTAGGGTCATAGCCACCCCAGGTCTGTGGGGGTGCCAGGTGGACACGGCGACCCCGGAATAGGAAGCTGACAATGCCTCGGTAGCCGGCCCTGGGGACACCTGACTTGAGGTCATCCATGACACCCAGGGCCTTGGCGAAGGCCTTGAAGCTATCCCTGCTTGTATACTGCACCCGCACCTCCCCCAGCTCCTTTCTTTCATTGGTCCTCACGTTCTCCACCTGTAGCTGGGGAGCACCATAGACACGTGCAAGAAAGTCCCGATCATAGGTCTCCTGCTGCAGATAAGACAGGTCCAGCTGGGTGAAGTGCACAAAGTGCTGGTTCAACTTGATGAACTTGAGGTGCTGGTCAAAAAACTGCCCATGGCTTACACCCTTGCGGCCAAAGGTCATCGTTCTTGAAATTTCAGGCCGTATACAGGCTCGCCCCTGTCGTTGCTCAGGCCTGCGCATCCAGTCGTCCCAGAAGGCCTTAGGCCACTTGGGCTCCAATTCAGCCCAGAGCTCGGCCAACAGCAGCCAGCCCAGGCCAGGAAAAAAGTCTGTACGGTAGAGAAGCTCAGGCTTACTGGAGTCCACCATCTGTTCCTTGCCATTGTCATTCCAGGCAGACACACACCAGAGTGAGGGGTCAGCCCTCAGCATCGGGTAAGTGGCCTGGAAGTACTCAAAGAAGTCTGGGGCCACCTCCAAGTCATCCTCGACCACCACAGCTGCTGTGAACTTGAACCTGTGGAAGATCTGGCCCAGCGCCCATCGGTAATGTCGCGCAATCTTGTAATAGCCCTGGAATTTACGGTGATCAGGTGGCACAGCAATGTTGCTCAGGTCAGGTTGCCGGATGTGTGTGACGGCGCTGCCGTAGGAGGCAATGACCTGGGCTGTCTCCTCATGCCCACAGTCCTGACTGACTATGATGGGAAAATGCTCAGCTGAGGGCCGGTAATGCAGCAGCTTGTCTAAGCAGCGCCGGACAGTACTTCGGTCACAGGCAATGACCAGGATGGGGATGACTGCTGGCGGTGGAGTCACAGGTACATGCTGTGCTGGAGGAGCCACAGTGGGCACTCTCAATCTCTGCCTCCACTGAGCATGGTGCAACCTGATCTGCTGCAACAGTTCCTGCTGACGTTCCAATTCCACTTCAGCATCATGGGCCAGGCGGATCACCTCACGGGTGAGGCTGGCAGGGTCATCGTCAAGAGTACTGTCTGAAGGTGGTCGGCCAGGTGCTGGGCGAGTCCAGAAGAAGAGGAGAAGCAGGGCATTCCAGGCCACAAAGAGGATAGCGCCCCACAGTACAATCCCTGCAGTCTGCTTCTTCAGCATCCTGGCCCCCACGGGGGAGGGCAGGGGCAAGGTTAGGGCTCTGGGCTGCCCTCTGTACACCTGGCTCACGTGCCCACCTTTCTATGGATTTGAGTTCAGCAAGTAGCCATTCACCTAAGAAGAAGAGAGAAAGAATCGTCAACACAAAGACAAGTGATGGCATACCCTTCGGGGGATATAGAAAAGTGTGGGGCAGGAACAGGGGAACAAGTGAGAGAGGAGGGAAACCAGGACGCAGACTCCAGCTCTCTCAGAAGAAAGTTGCCCTTCCCCTAATCTAGGGGATCAATCTGCATGGGTGAACAGACATGCAATAGGGGCAACAAGTTCCATCACTCCAAAATGAATTAATGTGACCCAGGACAGCAACACATGCTTAAGAGGAAAGAAAAGAGTAATAGTAATGTAAGGTGAAGGAGCAAAGGAACTCCTATTCTCCCTTCCCTGTGGGACAGATTTCATCTTCTATTCAGAGCTCAAGGGAGTGGGGAGTCAGGGAAGTGAGAACATCTGCCCCCCATTCCTCAAATCAAACTGCCCTACAATTACAGATTTAAAAAAATCAAATTATCACACTGCTGTACCTTGAATTTACTTGATGTGGCTTTTCTATTCAGTGTCTTAATTCCTACCAACTGATTGGGTGCTGCTGCTGCTCAGCGCTGTCGAGTCAGTTCCAACCCATAGAGACCCTGGATAGGGTTTCCGAGGAGTGGCGAGTGTGAGCTTCAACCTCCAACCTTGCAGTTCAAGCAGCTTTGCAGTCTGGCACATTAACCCAGAGTGCCACACCAGGACTCCTTCTAACCTATTGTTGTTGTTGTTATGTGCCATGGAGTTGATTTCGACTCATAGCGGCCCTATATAGAGTTTCGAAGGAGCGGCTGGTGAGATTGAACCATCGACCTTGTGGTTCAAGTTGCTCTTGCAGTACAGCGCATTAGCCCGCAATGCCACACCAGGACTCTAGTGATTGGGTGGGACCATGTAAATAAGGTATCCAGCACTCTAAGGCTTGGAATGGCTAGTTGTGCCATCCAGCTGGGTTGAAAAGGAGTCATATCACAAGTAGGAACTGAAGATTCCAGGACCATCAAGAAGAGTATGAGTGGAACATAAGATCCCTGCCTGGAAAATATGGACAGCAAAGGCGATGGTAGAGGTGGTGGCATGGAGATATAGAGCAGGTTCCAGCTAGAGGCCCAATGAACTGAAAGCTGAGAGCCTAGGGGAAGGAGACTGGCTTGCAGAATGTGCCTTTTGCGCATTCACACACTGGCTAAAAAGAGCTTTGTAACACTCGCAAAGACCAAGGGCCACAAGACAGAGGGGCCAAAACAAGAGTGAGGTGTGCCTGCAGTATGACAGACAAGAACCTTCCTGGATGGAGAACTACTGTGTTCTGAGATGGTTTTGATCCTGAATTGCATCCTGTTCACTTCCCTAATAAATACCACAATTGTGAGTATTATTATGAGTTCTGTGCAGCCATTGCAATGCATTATCAAACCCAGATGTGAAACAGAGAGTGCTGTGGGAGTGATGGCTCAGAACAAGGGAATAAGGTGTAGGTAGAAGTATGTTTGACCTCCACTTCATAGCAATCAACCTTGAGATGATTTTGATTTTCTTTCCTCCTTGTGCAGCCAGGGGAAGTCAGACATGCTTCCCACATGATTTTCCACATATTCTACTGCCAAAGTCAATACCTTACTAAATTAAGGATGCACTAAATGCATGCCCCCACCACTAATCTGTCAGTTTGTCATACTGTGGTGGTTTGTGAGTTGCTGTGATTCTGAAAGCTATGCCACCGGTATTTTAAATACCAGCAGGGTCACCCATGGTATTTAGAACAGGCTTTAGATAAGCTTCCAGAAAAAGAGACACTAGGAAGAGTGATGCACTATTTCCAAATCTTTAGTCACTGAAACACTGTCAGATATAGTCCCAGAAAATGAGCCCCTCAAGTAGAAAGGCACTCAAAATGAGACTGGGGAAGAGCTGCCTCATCAAAATAGAGTTGACCGTGATGACGCGAATGGAGTAAAGCCTGTGGGAGAAAAGACCGTGGGACCTTCATTAGCTGCTGGAGCACAACTCAAAATGAAGAGGAACAGCTGTAAACATCCATTAATAATCGGAACATGCAATGTACAAAGTATGAATCTAGGAAAATTGGAAACTGTCAAAAATGAAATGGAATGCATCAACATCGATATCTTAGGCATTAGTGAGCTGAAATGGACTGGTATTGGCCATTTTGAATCTGAAAACCACATTTATTATGCTGGGAATGACAAATTGAAGAGGAATGGTATTGCATTCATTGTCAAAAAGAACATATCCAGATCAGTCATGAGGTACAATGGTGTCTGTGATAGGATATATCCAAGCGCCTAAACGGAAGACAAGTTAATATGACTATTATTCAAATACACGCATCAACCACTAAAGCTAATGAGGATGAAATAGAAAAATTCTACCAAGTTTTTCAATCTGAAATTGATCAAACATGCAATCAAGATGCACTGATGATTACTGATGATTGGAAGGCAAAGGTTGGGAAAAAAGAGGAAGGATCAGTAGTTAGAAAATACAGCCTTGTTGACAGAAATGATGCTGGAGATCGCATGATAGAATTCTGCAAAATAAATGATTTGTTCATTTCAAATACCTTGTTTACACAGAGTAAGAGATGATTGTTGTTGTTGTTGTCAGGTGCCATTGAGTCGGAACCGACTCATAACGACCCCATGCACAGCAGAACGAAACAATGTCCGATCCTGGGCCAACCTCACTACCACCGCCACAC